TTTCTCATGCATTGTTCATGGGGTTTGGCTCATGTCGACTTTCTTTTGCTCTTTTGTTCTTTGGACCTTTGGAGCGTTCTGTTTCATTCCTTTCTTTCAAAAGGATACCAATCAGCTCGTGTTTACTCTTGTTCATCGTGATTCAGCTCACCTAATTTGACTTCAGCCGACCTCGCCTTTGATCGGGGAATCTGTTTCGTTTGCTTGGTTCCACAGTGATCCTGATCCTCGTGTCTTTCATCTCAGCCTAATCTACACCGACAATACATTGTGGTGTGTTCTTCCGAAAACGGAAGCACGTCACCTTCAAACACATGCCAAGGTGAAGCATGTGGAACATCACTAGGGACCGATGTTTTTTCTGTTCTTCTTTGGAGCTTTGGACTCTTGATTAAAATATTTCACGCAACTATATCTTATTTATAGAAGTATGTACGTATCTACTATTCTTTATAAATATACTATATTGTAATCATATATTGATTATGTATATTATATATTATATTACTTTTTGGTGCTAGGTATTCCAGACCCAAGGTATTTTTTTGGTTCTTTCGGCAAGCAACTGCCCGTGGTTTGGATGTGTCGTGCATTTGGTGTTGCAGGCTTTGCAGGCTCAGAAGCATCCGGATGCTGAGGCCATGTTGCTCGACATGAGCAGTTCATTCCAACGACATGACTCCATGCTGACTGCAGAAACTGCAAGAAATGCCGAAGCAGAGAGGCCATCGCTAGTAGGTTGGAGGCCATCGCTATTTGGTTGGAGTAAAGTCTATTGTTTTCTTGTAAAAACGAGCTTTGCCTTTCAGGCCATGTTCAACGAGTTTTGTGCTCAGCACTTCTTTGCACTTGGAACGTGGTGACAAGACCCGAAGCAACAGGGGTATATAGGCTAAAAAGAGGTGTTTGCTGGTGGGTGACAGGAAGCTACTAAACTTGGGACATAGTAGAAGGGTCCTTTGCATGGTTGAAATGGTTTCTAGATTTATTGGCTGAAACTTGAGTTGAAACTGTTTTTCCTGTTAGCCCTCCTTGACGCTAAGGCTTGATTGGCGTCATGCGCTATCGCTGGAGGACTCGAAGTCGCAGGCATTGTGGAAGTGGTCAGAAGCAAAAGTGGACCGCAGCCACAAAAGGCACTGCTAGGGTGGAGGCCATGGCTAGCAGGTTGGAAGTCATCGCTTCTAGGTTCACTTCGAGCCTACACGTCACCGGGTGTACGCGGCCATAGGGGGCTGTCACTCTTTCACGCCTCCTCGCATAAACCCCCAGGTGGCCGTCAATCCCCTTTTTCGGACAATACGCCGCCCATGCCAAACTGCTTCAAGTCCCTTCGCAAATCACCGGCCCAATATATACACGAGCCTGACACTACAAAGCGCTAGATCCCGATCCAGCACCTTCCGTGTAGTACGCGAAACATCGAGACTAAGGCGGACAAAAAGAACGGCCATTTGTTATTTTTGGTGAAATAACACATTGTTGTTTGTGGTCTATGCGCGTGGCGCTTAGGTTCAGTTTTTGCGCGCATGTCATACTCCCGATTCACCACGGCACTGGCCAACTTGCCACACCCAGACTCTAAACCTGAGCAGCGGCGACTTGACGAAGCGCTGATCGAAATGTTCAAATTGTCGCCGTCTAACTCAATCCGTATCTAAATCATAATGCCACCAAATTTCACCACACCATGAATCACCGAGCATATCCTAGCATCAATTCACCCATTATAGACCAGGGACATCACCGCCAAGCTTCACTCAACTCACCTCTATTGTTTTATCACTCGACATCACCTCGGCAACGCATTACACCATCACACTTTGTCGACACAGGATCACTCCATTGAGATTGTGTCTTTTCGCATCTCACAACCTTCTACAGAGGAATCACTCCAAGTAGAGTGCGCATTCTCAAAGACGCTAACAAAAAATAGAAGCGATGGCCTCCCACCTAGAGGCCATGGCCTCCAACCTAATATATAGCAATTCTGTATTTTCCGATTGAGGACTTCTTGAAGGTCATTGATGGCGCAGAGCTATCGAAGGTGGTCCAGCTTGAAGAGCCACTGCCGCCGCTGCCTCCGCCCAAGGACTCGCGTTCAGAGGAGGTCAGAGCCTGAGAGCGCGAAAGACTTTGCAAAACGGAACGTAAAAACAGAAGGAAGCTGCCAGGAACAAGAAGCTACTAGGGGCTCCTGGCATCGCTACTAGGAGCAAGGAAGCTACTAGTAACAAAGGGCATTTTTACTAGTAGCAAGAACGCTACTAGTAGCCCTTGCTCCGTTCGTAGCGATGCCCTTTGTTACTAGCTTCTTGTTCCTAGTAGTAAGGCCAGGAGCTACTAGTAGCGTCTAGCGTCCTTGCTCATAGAAAGAAAAGGGCTGAGGGTCTAAAACGTGTTCCCCACCCCACCCTGAGTGTTCCCCGAACAGTGTATCATTTATGGGTTCTCTCTTAAGAAAGAAGGGCTGGCCATGACCCATGGCTATGCCATCCCTTTCTTCACCGCCTTGTGTAGGCTTTTGTCCCAGCTGTGTGTTTTTGCTTCAGGCCTTGTCCGTGCTTTGTCGCTTTGTCCGGGTGCCGTAGGCCGTCTTCTCCGCCTTGTCCGGGTCTGTGCTTTCTGCTTGTCGGCCCTCATCACCGCTTTGTCCGAGACTTGTTGCTAGTAAGGCACCTTCCTACTACTATCAAAATATCATCCTCAATCCTCAGATTTTGTGACGAAATCCGGGCAGGGGGTGCCAAAACATCGTTTATACCTGCTGTTCCCAACCAGCCGGAGGCCAAAGGAATATAACTACAAAAAGCCACAGACGTTTCCACAATTTGGATTCAATGGAGTTGACGCAAAGCATTCATGCTGTTACTGTTTGGGTCTAGGCCGTACGCTATAGTTAGTATTTTTTTGTATGCAGGTCTTTCTGGGCATTTCTACTAGGAGAAAGCAGGCTACTAGTAGCTCCTGGCATCGCTACTAGGAACAAGAAGCTACTAGTAACAACTCGCTACTAGGAGCAAGGACGCTACTAGTAGCTATTTGCTACTAGTTTGTTACTAGTAGCGATGCCCTTGTTACTACTAACAAGAGCGCTACTAGTAGCACATTCTTGAAGTTTCCACTCCAGCTTACTCAGCTGCCAGGAGCATGGAAAGAAGACCTGGGGTGGAACGGAGGAGATGGTTGTTCGATGTTCTTCGTTCCCGTTGCCGAAAGAAGCCCCTGCCATTTCAGCATATTCATCGTTGGTATCGCCATCGATCGATGTTCCCCTTTTGATTCTGCGGTCCACTTTGCTTTTGCCTTAATGGATTGTCTAGATGATGGACAAGTCAAGAATCCTCACCTTGCAGGATTTGCTTTCTTACTGCACATGATCATTCTAGCTAGGTAGACGCTACTAGGGGCTCCTGGCCTTACTACTAGGAGCAAGGACGCTACTAGGGGCTCCTGGCCTTACTACTAGGAGCAAGGACGCTACTAGGGGCTCCTGGCCGTACTACTAGGAGCAAGGGGTCTCAAAATCTGTCTCAAGGATGTTGGATCCAAATCGCATTCCATGGTGAACACAGGTCCACTGCCAAAGACGTCAACTTGCTTTAGGCAGCAAATAGTTACTAGTAGCGATGGCCTCCAACCCAAGAGTGATGGCCTCCACCTAGTAGCTCATGTTTGGCTTGGTGTTAATAAGACCACACCGAGTCAGCGGATCAAATCGACGAGTCCCATATCTGGGTGTCAGGTGTGGGACGGTCCACTTTCATGCCCTTATCAAAACTTTGTGTGGAGGCCATCACTATTAGGAGCAAGGACGCTATTAGGTTGGAGGCCATTGCTAGTAGGTTGGAGGGCATCGCCAGTAGGTTGACTTGGTGTGCAAATGGACGCACAACTTTGCAGGTTTGATCATGTCAATGTAGGATTGTAGGGAAACAGCGAAAAAGTTCCTAGTAGCATCCTTGCTCCTAGTAGTAAGGCCAGGTGCCCCTAGTAGCGTCCTTGCTCCTAGTAGTAAGGCCAGGAGCCCCTGGTAGCGTCCTTGTACAATTGGACACAGCTGTACTGAACTCAATTTCAACTTTAACATCAAGGAGTTGTGTGGCCACTGTACACTCGTTTGCTTGTTAACGCTTTCGAGAATGCACCTGCAGCAGTATCACTGATGGATTTACAAAGTGTGCAATGCGGCACATGTCTTTAGCAAGTTGGGAGTTCTGTGCGCCGCAAGAAAACTCCACCAAGACGGTAGAAATCAAACCCATTCTCGCGATGCCTACTGCTTTTGCACTAAATTCTAGGATCTCCCTTGTTATTCCGAGGTTCAATAGATATGATATAAATGTTGAAAGAGGATGTGCTTGCATTATTTGCACACTACAAATCTCCTCTCAGAAATTCAAACCAATGGCTTTCAGGAGTTCATTTGGGATGAATCGTGATTGCCTGGGCATTTTATCGAAGAACGGGCGTGCGCTAATGCAATTGCAGCCTTCTTAAAGAAGAGCCTGCTCAAAGTCGTTCGACGTTTCACAGGACTCTGGTCAAACAGAAGTCGTGGAGAAAACGATTCGCTAGTAGTAACAAGTGCCTTACTAGTAGTAACAAGAAGCGAACGTAGAAACAATAGAAGCTAGGAAGCGAACATTGCTCCGTTCGTAGCGATGCCAGGAGCCCTTGCTCCTAGTAGTAGGGCCAGGAGCCCCGAGTAGTTTCTTTGCTACTCGTCGGCTCCAGGGTTGGGCAAAGTACATGCAGGTGCTTTTGACGGACTCTCACTTTTTTGCACTTGTCAAGAGGCAAACAGCTGCAAAGTCTGGGCTCATGTGCAAGTCACAAGCTGACTTGATGACAGGATTTGACGTAGGGTCATAGAGTGTCTACTCTTGCTTGGCCGCAATGTATGTTCAGATTCACGGCGTTGCTTGAACACCTTGCAGGTGTTCGTCAGCCAAGGCAAGTGAATAGCAGCCAAGGTAATCTCAGACAAAGCAGGCTAGCGGCTAGCGGCCACAAGCTGCCATTCATTCGCTTTGATTGCCATGGTCTGGAAAACCGGGGACAAACTGGCCACGGGCTCAACGTTGCAGTTGCTTTGTTGGCCTTTTGCTTACTTTGAAGGTTGGACTGAATAATTGGAGAAATGCTTTTGGGCAGGTTTGCTTTATCCACAAAGACCCATGTTGAACACCTGAACCACAGAACACAGGATTACAACTAAAGCTAGAAGGGCTCAAATCAGAGTCAGGCCTCACTCTCCTTCACAAGTTGCGTAGGTGAGCAACAGCATGTTTGAGCCGAGTTTTTGATATGCTGATAAACCATCTAGCGAGACTGCCCTAGAGTGCTTCAAGTCTGGCTACGCGGTTTGGCCTCAACTCCGCCTTGTTTTTTCCTTGGGCGAAGCATGGCTAAGCATATTTGAGGAGGAATGCCACGTAATTTCAATTTGTAGGAACAAGAAGCTACTAGGGGCTCCTGGCATCGCTACTAGGAGCGATCGGACGCTACTAGGGGCTCCTGGCCTTACTACTAGGAACAAGAAGCTAGTAATAAATAGATAGAAACAATAAACTACTAGGAACAAGTGCATCGCTTCTAGTAACAAGTGCCTTACTAGTAGTAACAAGAAGCTATTAGAAGCAAGAATTTGAATGAGAATTTATGGCCGGCCACAAGTGGCACCGAAAACTTGTTCTTCACGCTAGTAGGCGCTAGGTTGGCCACTCTTGTTCAGGGGTGTCCTCTTGGCATGATTCCTTTTTGTTGGTGTTGTTTACGAGGCCAAGTATGGCCATTAGAGGCTGAACACTGCACCATTGTAAAACACGCCCTCATGGAAAATCGATGATCGAAGGCTTCATGTTTTATAGGTAGGATGGATGCCATCGTTACTAGGTTGGAGGCCATCGCTCTTCGGTTGGCGGCGTCCAGTTTCATACGCTTCACTTGGCAACGAGGATTTGTCTCTGGATGAGCTAGCGGATTTGGACGGAAAGGTGAGATTCTGGGTCGTTTTGTAGTAGCGAACATTGCTCCTAGTAGTACGGCCAGGAGCCCTAGTAGCGATGCCAGAAGCCCCTAGTAGCGTCCTTTGCTCCTAGTGGCGATGCCCTTTGCTCCTAGTAGCGTCCTTGTTCCTAGGTCGTTTTGTAGTTTCAATACTTCCCCAATCTGCGCCAGGTGAGTATGACCTCCGGCAACACGCGTGTCTTTGCTCTACGCTAAGCATGCCAAGTGTGCCGCTCAAGCAGCGTAGGGTTTCTCAAGTTCTCAGGTTGGAAATTTGCCCTACAGCTCCTCATGGCAAGATTTGAAGGCTCATTTGTGTTTGTTAAGTTTCGCTAAAAATCTAGAAACCAAATCATAATTAGTGCGAGTGCTTCTTCAAGGAAGCTTCCCCCGCCGCCTGTAGGGCAGCGGGGGAGCTTCCTTGAAGAAGCGTGAGCTATCCTGCGTCGAGTAGGTAGTAGCTTCCTAGCTACTACTAGCTACCTACCTCCCTACCCTACCCTACCCTACCCTACCTACCTAGCGGCCTACCCTCCCTTAAAACGTTAAAATCCTAAAAACAAAATAGGAAGTATAGAGGGCATAAAAACACATGTTCAAAGTCGTGGCTTCATACGTTGAAGGACCACATGCGCCAAGCCGGTGAAGTCTTGTTTTGCGAGATCCTCCCGGAGCCTGGAACTGTCATGGGCTCAGACCTAGTAATTACACAGACTGTTCTTAAACAAGAGATACTCAGAGATACTTCTTTTTCTTGGATTGTTCATGTTCTTTTCCTTCTATTTTTAGGCCTTTAAACTTTGGATACTTTCTCTTTCCTTCCTTCTTTTCTTTTTGGTTTTGTTCCTGCTTTTTTGTGTAGACCTTTATATAGACCTTTCTTACTTTTCTTTTCTATCCTGACGATTGGGAGGGGAATCCTTTCTGGAAATCATTGGTTTGTGTAGAGGGTGATGTTGTCGAAGAAGGTGAAAACACTTGAACATCAACCACAGCTCGCTACCATGAAGCAATTTTGTTTTTTGTTGACAGACGGTGACTTTCCTTACCTTGTTAAACATGTTGTTTTCCGCGCGCTTCGTCGAACAGGTGTGCGAATCTTCTCAATTGCAAAGACGGTATTTTTTTCCAAGCCAGACTGAGGCGTTGGGTTCTAAAGGCTGTGGCCCAATTCTCAGAGAAATCGCTGATGGCCTCCAACCTAATAGTAATGGGCTCCAACCTAGTAGCGATGGCCTCCAACCTAGAAGCCCTCGGTTGAAGAAGGCTGGGCCTTAATTTAATGATTTGGTTCCTAGAGTGGGGAGTAGATTAAGTTGTTGATTCACTGCCAAGCCTGCAAGATGTAAGTAAGTGAACTCGCCAAAATTTGGACCGTGAAGCCTTGAGCCTTGACCCCCAAGGGGTTAACGCAATAGAATTCAACAGGTCAACGTAACAATGCGCCAAATCATCACAGTGCACCTCACCACTACAGAAACTCAAGAAGAATCTGTACAAGAAGCTACTAGGAACAAAGGGCATCGCTACTAGGAGCAAGGACGCTACTTGGGGCTCCTGGCCTTACTACTAGCAACAAGAAGCTACTAGGAACAAAGGGCATCGCTACTAGGAGCAAGGACGCTACTAGTAGCTCCTGGCCTTACTACTAGGAACAAGAAGCTACTAGGAACAAAGGGCATCGCTACTAGGAGCAAGGACGCTACTAGTAGCTCCTGGCCTTACTACTAGGAACAAGAAGCTACTAGTTTCCAAAATCTAGGAACCAAATCATTAAGGCCCAGGCTTCTTCAACCGAAGGCTTCTAGGTTGGAGGCCATTGCTAGGTTCCAAGCTCCCTGCCAAGGTCTCGTGGAATTTGCTACTCCGGCGGCCGTCCGCACCTTGGACAGCTAGGGTTTGTGCACTGAGCGAATAGGTTGGGAGACAAAAAAGATTCTGTCCAAAGAAATGTGGAAATCTGAAAGAAAGGCGACTATAAAGAGGTTCAGGTAGAAACAACAACATTGACAATACTATGTCGACTATACCAGGAAGTGTTTTGGTCCATCACGTCCATTTCCGCTGACGCGGAGGGGCATCGTTTTCAAGGCTCACCGAGCTATCTCAGATCTCACCGGCACTGTTCCTTGGTAAACATTGCTCGCTCGAATGGTTTGCGGTTTGTAATCAAGCTATCAGGGAAACTCTTGGCCTGCTAGTGGGCCAACGGAGTCCTGACATGGCATGTCGGGAACAGACCCTTGACTCGGCTGCACATACTAGTTATATATATATATATTTATATTTGAACGAAACCTGGTTGGACAGATTCAATTGATACATGTTCACGTGCAAGGCGCACCTTGAACACTGGTCTCCAGGATGCCCATTGTTGCTGTGAATATCGAACTATGCGCCATGAAGAAAGTTCAAGCAGCAGGTGAAGTGAACGGCATTCTTTATTTTTCACTCTCAGTCCCAGTGTATGTTGAGATATGTTGAGCTCTTATGAACCTGCTCCTGGTGTAGTGATGTAATTCTTCAAGAATGTGTTTTTGGGGGTCGGACATAGTAGCGATGAATCATAGTTTTCCTCGCCGCCCTAAAGGGGCGTTAGCCCTTCTCAAGCTATCCTGCGTGCAGTTCCTAGTAGCGAACATTGTTACTACTAGTAAGGCACTTGTTACTAGTAGCGATGCACTTGTTCCTAGTAGTTTCTTGTTTCTAATGGCTTCTTGTTACTACTAGTAAGGCACTTGTTACTAGTAGCTAGTAGCTTACTAATCCCTTACTTAATTAAGGAGGCGCCTACTTGATTAAGTAGGGAGGAGGGGAGCGGACGAAAAAAAGAACAAAAGGAAGAACATCTGAGATTTTCGCGGGCTCATCCGGCACATCCATTACAGTTAGATGGTTGAATGGCAATCTCTTTAGCCGGCAGCAATACGAAGGTGTTATTGTCATGAGTCAATGTAGGACCTAAGCAGACAATTGGACACGGTCAAAAACTGGTCAGATACGAATGCAGAGCATTTACAAGAACCAACTGTGAGGCAACAACTGTGAGGTGCCTGAAGAACTTGATGAGATAGAGTTGGAGCGATCAAAAAAGGAAGTCGTTTTTGGAAACCCGTAAGTCTTGACGCTACCAGGAGCAAGGACGCTCCCAGGGGCTCCTGGCCTTACTACTAGTAGCCAACGAGCATTTGGAAAAGCATTTTCCGAAGTATGAGGCTAAAAAGAAACGCACTAAGGTGGTCCAAGGCCGCTGAGTCCTCAGCAAGACGTCGGCGAGCTTCTCATAGATGGAATGAAACGCGATTGGGGGAAGGACACCAAGGGAAACACAAAAGAACACAGCATGACAAGTGTCGTGTTATTAATCAGAGCCTCAGAAATGGAAGTTGTTTGAGGTAAAATCTTTGTGCGGGAGGACAGGGAGCTTGGCACTCAGTGCATTGGGAATGCTCCCATTGTCAGCGGCCAGCGCTGAATAATTTGATCTTCATAACTTGAGGAGTGAACTGTCGGTTGAAGAAGGCGCAACGAGCAGCCATCAAGCTGGCAGATTCCGTACCATGTTGCATAGATTTCACCCATGGTACGGAGACCATTTTTGATTCAATTGCCAGGAGGCCGCCGAGTGTTTGTTGGGTGAGATGCCCAGAAGCTTCAGGCGCACAGGAGTACCTTAGGAGTGTTCACCGGACAGGAATTTGGCTTACAGCGTGAGCTGGCAGGACTGACACATCTAGCAGGTTCACATGTGCAATGTCTTGCAGCAAGACATATGCGGCACAGGAGCTGAAAGATCATATGCGGCAGTGTGGGGATGTGCTTCATTGTGACATTATTGCAGAGCCTGGAACTGCCTTGGGGTCAAAAGGCTGTGGTTCGAAGCCCAGAACATGTTACTAGTAGTAAGGCACTTGTTACTACTAGCGATGCACTTGTTCCTAGTAGCGTTCTTGTTACTACTAGTAAGGCCAGGAGCCCCTAGTAGCTTCTTGCTCCTACTAGTAAGGCACTTGTTTCTAGCTTGGCGTGTGGGTCTGAGATTGCCTGAGGTATTGTGGAATTTGCTTCTCCCTCGTCGGCACGGCGGGCAATTGATGAGATGTCATATTCTCAGCAGAGCAGTGTGTCTTTGGCATGCATGATCATTGCATGTGGACACACTCCTACACAAGCCAGCTTGAGGACTGACTCAATGCTTAAAGGAAGGCCAATCTTTGTCCGAGCAGATCGAGAAGAGCAGAGCACGTATGGAAGGGATCTGAGACAATGCTGCAATGAAAAAACACTTATATAATGATAGATGTATCAGAGACTGCAGTGATTCTGCTCAGGAAACTTCCAAGACGAGCGTGCCAAGCACTTGGAACGAACCTTGCACGGTTGCCGTAGAGATTAAGATTGAAAGCGCTTTCGAGGACAGGTTCCGAAAACATGAGCGCTTTGGGAGAGCCCGCAGTCGGCCCAGTCCCAAGTTGGTCGAGTCGTCAAGAGCGATGGCCTCCAAATGCCTCCAACCTAAGAGCATTTCTAGCGATGCCAGGAGCCCCTAGCAGCTTCTTGCTCCTAGTAGCGATGCCCTTTGCTCCTAGTAGCTTCTTGCTCCTAGTAGGGCCAGGAGCCCCTAGCAGCTTCCTTCCTCCTAGTAGCGTTTCTTTTTTAAAAATAGGTTTGTCAACAAAGCTTTTGCTGTCGTTTACTCTCGTTGGTCTTATGAGACTTGCAACATGCCTTCGAGGTCGAACAGTATGGGCCGCCGTCAATGGCGTCCTGTTCGAGGATCGCTCAGTCCAGTTCAATCCCTGTTCGCGAATGACTGAACAAAAACAAAAGCATCCTTCACAGGATGCACCTGTATTCTGGTACTCACGGTGTTCTTGCAACATCGAGTCCACATTCGACATCTCGCAGCTGAGGATTTATAGCTTATGCACACGGCTAGTTAGCTTGGCTGACCACTTGATTGTTATACCACTGCAACCCAAGATTCTTGCTGTCAAGAAACATGTCCTCGTTGGGAAACCTTTGAATTCTGGCCTGGTATCCCATTCATATGCTGCTTGGTAACCCGGAGTTTCCTAGTTTGGTAACTTGCGGTTTGCTTATTTGCTAACCCAGTGGTGCCTTGCTTCATAAACCCGTGCTTGCTTCAATTAGCTTCAATGGAATTTGGTTCGGTATATGTTTGATTAATGTCAATGTCAATGTTAATTTGCTTAAATTCAATTAAAATCTTAAGCTAACTTCAACAATTCCATTGAATTGAACTCGTCAGTTCAATTCAATTGAATTTACGCCCGCTAAATCCAAATCAATTCAATCAAATTCAGCTCGTGGCGAGAAAAGTTTGTTGCAATACTAAGTTCAACGATCAGGTCAAAGAGAAACCTTTTGATAAATATACCAACCAAATGTATGCCTATATACAAATAGTTTGCATTTACTCTGCAAACGACAAAAAGCGCATGTGTCACGCACGTGCCCTTCGGAGGTGCGTGTGTCAAAGCCACGCCCTTGGCGCCCGGGAGGGAATGCGTGTGAGTGCGCGATGGTTTGGGGTTTAAAGACTTCTGAAGCCATGATTACTGGTTGAATCGTCAAATGGAAAGCAAAGCTGGAAGTGAATTCGCGACGACAACCGCCCGCACCATTGGCTCTTGGGGGTCCAAATATAGTTTCTTGTAGTCACTCCAATCGCTCTATTTTCGACTCCTTTTGAAATGATCTACTCTGACTCGACCCTAGGAAATGCACATGTTTCAGTGGACAACAATTTTCGCAAGTTGCAATTAAGACATAACTGAATAATGTGTAAGAGGGTCCAAAAGTAGAGTGGTTACACAGAATTTTCACATTTTACTCATCCGCTTCTTTTCATGCCGCGTTAATCTCCAAGTTTGTTTCGATCATGCACATTGTACATTGTATTGTTTATTTGTACAGTTTCCAGCGGATTGGAAAATGGATGGACGATGTAAAATAAACTGTACCATTGCCACCAGCTGATGTGTTTGGTGCAATCATGAGAGATTTAAGACACAATAGACTGTTGAGAAGAGTTGTTTGTTTGCTTGCCTTTCATGGGCGTGGTGATGCAAATTGTACAAAGACATAGATGACGTGGCCTTGGCACACGCCCGGGCGTCAGAAACGATAAAAAACGGAAAATAGTAAATTGCAAGCGCTTTTTCTAGACCCGGTTCCGAAAAAGAACTGTTTCAACCGCAGGTTGTCGTTATGTTGTTAAAATTGTGGCAAAAAAGTTGGAATACCTTTGCCGGATGTCGGTTGTGGATGGCGCTGTTCTTATTGTTTTGGTCTGCAACGTTTTCCGCTTTTCATTTTCAAGTTACCTTGCGAAGAAGTAAGAAGTCTTGTCATTGGTTCGTTTATTGGCATGACTTACTCACGGCCTTTTTTCAAGTTTATACTTGAGCTAAGTGACTCAACCACATGGAGGCTCACGGACGCATCACACACACATGTCCACAGAGGCAAGCAACTAGCGCCGCAACGCATCTGCATTATTCTCCAACACTTTTTCTCTCTCGTTACACGCCTTCTGTTTCAGGTCTTTTCCGTTGCGATGGCTTTGTCGTGGTGCAACGTGTCCGACGACACCGAGGCTGGGCACTTGGTGGTTTGTGTCACTGAACTTGGAAATTTGATGTTTGCGGCCCCGCCCTTAGTCATTTTTGTGAGGTCACGTCCGCCCCTTGGCTTGGGCGATAAAAACGGTTTCGGGAGGAGAGTCGCCGACGTGCTCAACAGGCAACACTGGATTGGCTTAAGTCCGGTGTCCAGGCACATTTTTGTTTGCGCTAGCTTATTTCTTGGATTTGTCACTTAGATGTTGGCATACTTGCGCGAAAGAAGAAACAGAAGAAGCAGTGTGGGCACGCGTTGCAGCCTCAGTCTAAAAAAGTTGGCCATATGTTGTTCAGTTGGTTGCAGTCTCGCCCTACTCCAGATACCATCTTATGCACGCGTGGCAATTTTACAATTTTTCTGACAAGATGCACAGTCGACTTTGAAACAATCTAAACCTTGCCTGTGTCAGGCGCGCAAGAAACCCACCGCCAGGCCAAAACGAGCAAAGAAAAAGAGGGTCCAGGAGAGGGTATTGCTGTTTTGAGGGCTCTTCTGATTGACTTCGGTTTATCGGGCCTTTTTGGCAGCAACGCCCGTGGACCATTTGGTCATTTTCGCCCACTGCGGCTGGCCCACGCAAGGTGGCTTCGAAACGGTCGGGCGCGACAGACACAAGCCGTTCACTCCATCTACTTTCAACGCCCGTCATAACTTTTCAGACATGATACTGATTCCTGCGTGAGGCCCCCCGCCAACGAATGTCCGAACCGTCCGGGCCGGCCTCTATACCGAGAACCGGCCCATTTGTGTTTCACGTTCGGCTTTGCTAGGCGCCAGACGGCGCTTCATGGAGAAGCACGCCATGCAGGCAAGGCCTGGCAAGGAGAGGGCGTCCGGCCCGGACCCAAATCTATCCGACCGGTTTTGCGCTTCTGCGCTATATAAATGTTTGCTTGTAGGAGTTGTAAGTTGAGTGATGGAACTACAGTAGCTACAAGTTAGCTTGTGTTTCGATAACTTAACTTGTATCAGGGTAAGTGCGTATAACTGTACTTATATTTCATGAACTTATCACGTCTTAACTAACTTAGGCGAGAAAACGTTAGATGACAGAAATTTGTAAGTAAGCCGGATTTAAATGAGTGGAAGAGATAACTTAGATACATGTTACTTACACAGTTATTTCTACCTAACCGTAGTTACAAAACCACTTTTTAGAAGACAGTTATGACCTCTATATTTTGGTTCAAGTGTCCTGTACATATACAGCCTGAGTTTGCGGCATGGCTGCCCATACACACAAGGAATATATATATATATTTACACGTCGTTTCTATGAATGTGTTTTGTATACATGCGTTCTCATAGGTTTTCATGTCAGCCCTTTGTCGGCCCTGCGTCGGCCGCTATTCCAGAAAACTTGTGACCACGTCGGCTCGCGCGTCGGCCTGATAGGGGACATAGCTATATTTTGTGTTGTCGGCCCCTGCTCGGGCGGTCAAAAAGTGCTGTCTTTTCGCAGAGCTTGTTGCGCATGGTATATATATATATTCGCCGAGTTCCTGGCCAAGGCGGTGTTGAGCGCTTGAATGTTGTATGGATGGAGGCCATCCAATTTGACCAGAGGCCGCGCACAAATACAAAGAGTGGCAGCAAGACAGCAGTCGCACCAGAGCTTAAATGCCAGAAGGACTATTTCAATCGACGTGGCCAGCTCTTCATGGTCCTGCTGTTGGACGCAGACAATGGTGGCGAACGGAACAAACTTCTGAGCATCCGCCGGGCCATCTATGTCGATGCCCACTAACCACTAAGGATCAGCTGCGCGCCGAGCCTTGGGGCCATGCAATACAAGGCTAAAGATATGAAGACGAAGACATTATCACCCACGCCTTATGGAGAACTATGTTCGCTGGTGGCCGAGTCTGCCGAGTGCCCCAGATCCAGATGGCTGGCAGCCGTGCTGTCAATGCTCTGGCTGGCTTGCAAGAACTTGCGTCTGACATGTCAGGGTCACTGCGTTGACAGCAAACCCCTATACAGCGGCAAGGCTGATTCTCGCGCAGACCTTTGCGATGGCTCTCGGAGCAGTTGAGCGAGCATCGCGCAGAGATCAACGTCCTGCTGCTCCAGCACATGGCGCGGGAGGACCAAGTGGCACACCTGCAAAGGTGTGCCATCTACGCGGCCAGCCTGTACATCTACAGCGCGCAGGCTTTGCAGGCGTGAAGGGGTATTGCGACGGATTTTCCCTGGTGACACGTTTGCAACGGTTCATGCTTAATTCAATATATATATAGTTATATAGATATAGATCTGCTAGCCATGCCCTTCCGTTTTTTGGTTCTCACTCGCATGAATTGCTCCACCCGGACATGGCCATGCAAATGGGCCCTTTGAGGTCAACCTTCCACAAGGGAGATCAAACTCGAGGCGAGGAAGACGACGATTTTATCAGTTGATCTGAACGAAGGGCGGAGCGACCTGTCGCCCAGGGACACCTATATACATCTACCACGTCTACGAGCTCCTCACGGTGTCTTGGTCTCCTGCGGCGTGCTTCTCGACATACACACTGTTCAGGTGGGCGCTCTGCTGCGCGCGTGTCCCTCTCCTAGTCTGCTTTTGTTGCGCGCGCACGGTAGCTGTGCCACATATGTGAGGGGCGCCTACGTTTAACGTGGTGGGGATCACTCGACGCGATGTATTGAGTATAATTGAGTAACAAAGTAGTTTACGAAAGCCAGCCTTCGTAGAAGGCGCCAGCTGAGTTGTGCTTGGCGAACGAAGTGAGTAAGTAGGGTGTCTACGGGGGTGGCCCGAGAAAGCACCACGTAAACTCGAAATTAGGTGGTGTTTAGGGGTGCGCGGAAGCAAGGTTTTGGAGGTTGTGTTGGAGGTGATTCTTTGTGATTTTTGAGGGGGTGGTGATGCAAGAAATTCAACTTGCATCATCTGAGTGGTAAGGTGTAGCTTTACAACGGACGATGGTAACGCTGGCTTTCGTTTTACAGCTTCTCAGGTATGTAAGGAATCTACTGGTTCGATATTGGACTTATAAAGGTCTAGAGTAAATAACCAAATATACCAGCACTACAAGCTATGTGATAACAAATTAGTAATAAGAAGCATAACTGACTCTGGACTCTGGACTGGACTTTAACCATTTAACCTTGTGATTGGTCGACCACAGTTATGATGAAGAAAGTTTCCAAAGCAAAAGCACCGCCAGTTGTGTTATTATGTCTTATGTGTGTTTCCATGTTTTGTCCCACCCCCTTCCCTTTGAGACATGCCTCATGATGCAGGAAACGCATTGCCGTTGCCAAACCAAAAGGCACCCCCTAGCTAAAGAACTGAAGTTATACAGTGATGATCGCGCCCCAACGCAATCACGCCCCTCAGCACCTTCGGCACGGGCAGATGCCTGATTTTGCTTTGAAACATCTTCAAATCAGTGTACATACATGTGAAGACTTGATGGTTGCCTCTTGAAATCTGTTGCTAGAAAAGGCTGAAAAACCACCGCGCAAGAGAGAGTGTGTGGGCCTCCTGACGTAAACTCGTTCGCGGGCTACTGGAAGGGTTCAATTTTGTTTCAACTTCTTCGCGATCAGCCGAAAACAAAAATACTATTTTTTTTGTCTCACTGTGTGCGGCTGGGAAAGAAGCAATTGCCAGAGAGGAGCCCGGGATACAGAGGAGATGCTCGACACAGATGGGTCATTCGGTGAAATTTTGTTCTTTGTGATGATGATGATGATGAATATTCGGTTGGCCTGGCTTTCTTTCGTTGGCAAGCCACTGTTGCCTTGCTTTGGTTCGCTTGACCCAAAGATTCCTTGGTCAGCTGAGGGGGTGTATTTGTATTTGCTTTGTACTAAGCAAGCTCACCAAATTGTTTTTGGTTTTTTCACCATGCTTAACCCAAGCCCAATTGTTTTTTTTGGTCCAACACGTCCACAATACAATCTCTCTCTCGGTGCGCCCTCACGTTCCAAGACGAGGGTTCGGCATGTGCACTAAAACAAACCCAGGGTTTGCATCAGGTCTGAACACGTTGTGAATTTAAACAACAAAGTGCAAACGGCACAGTGGATAGTTAGACCCCTGGACTTGGGTAACATTCAAAGGAGCAGGGGCAAGCCTTTATGACACGGAGCGGACTTCAAGTCAAGGACAGGGTGATGTGCAGAATCTGCATAGTGTCAATCAAGACAGAAACTCATCAGCAACTCTGTCATACCGTTATTTATTCATGCCTGCTGAAGTTCGTAGATTACATAGTTTTCGGTTCCCCGGTAAGCAATGAACCACATGAACGGCCCAGGCTGCAGACGCGTTTTCGTGGGAAATTTAGCCTACAGTGCTGGGCTTGCTGTTGAGTTTTCACACTTGATTTTGAGCGGTGGAGGCCATCGTGTAGTAACAAGGACGCTACTAGTAACAAGTGCCACGCTAGTAGTAACAGGTGCCTTACTAGTAGTAACAAGAAGCTATTAATTTACTTTAAACTTACGGTGAGAGTGCAGATTCCGAGGCGTGACCTGGCAGGAACTCAAGGACCACATGCGACAAGCAGGCGACGTGCGGCACGTTGCTCAGTCCTTCCGCTTGAGCTGGGAAAAGCTGACAAAGCACACAGTGAATTTCGTAAACACATTGCAACCATGTTACTAGTAGCTTCTTGTTACTAGTAGTCATGGCCTCCAACCTAATAGCAATGGCCTCTAACCTACTAGTTTCTAGTTACTAGTAGTTTTTTGTTACTAGTAGCAACATGCAGCGTCCCTGCTACTAGTAGTTTTTTTACTAGTAGCGATGCGCGATGCACCTTGTCATAGTAGCGATTCCGTACCTTCACGCAGAAACCAGAAGAATTGGGTAAATTGGACTGAAACTCGCGTGGAAAGCGTGTGTAAGGTTCTGCGAGATTCTCAAGGAGCCTGGCACAACGCTAGGCTCAGTTCCTTTAAACTGATTGGAACAGACATGTTTCATGTTCAATGTTGAGGTTCCAAGGGTTGTGCTATAGTGGAGTACGGGTCGGCCTACGAGGCAGAGATTTCAATGTGTTTCAAGCGATTTATGTGTTGCATTGTGTTCCTACATTCCTTTCTTTCTTGTCAACATTCTTGAATCGTGTTGGAAGGCTAGGCGAGCAATTCGGTCCATGACAGATACAGAGCTGAGGGGAAGGCCGCAATGGAGTTCTAAGGGACTTTGTCACTGGTTGTGGAATGAACAACAATCCAACTTTACTTTGGTAAAGCCAACCTTGGGTTGGAGGCCATCGCTAGTAGGTTGGAGGCCATCGCTCTTAAGTTGGAGGGCCATCGCTATAAGTGCTTTCTTGTTTTGATTGTTTCTTCTTAAGACTTTCTTGCTTTGTAGGAGAATGTGGGTGCGAGAGGACCGGGAGGACTCTGCTTTTGTTGGTCTGTGCATGAGGCAAGGACTTCTGTCCCAGTCCCAGGAGATATGAAGCCAACCAGCGCGGCAACCGGAAGAAAAGAGTTCAGACTTTGAGACGCTACTAGTAACAAGTGCATCGCTACTAGTAACAAGTGCCACGCTACTAGTAACAAGTGCCTTACTACTAGTAACAAGAAGCTACTAGTAATTTCTCCGTTAAGTGTTGAGTTGACCATGTCATGACATGAGCAATGCGTGATGTGCATACATGTTTTGCCTCCAGAATGGAATCAAAGGACATGGTTAAACAATGTGATGTTAAGCATGATTATTGGTGTTACTTAAATCATTTCTCGAAGCTGGGGAAGACAACCTATTTGCAATTCCTGTTTCAACACACCCATCCTAAGATATTGTAAGTAATGGCAAACTTGCTGCGATGACAGCCAGTTTGGCTTTCGCGAGGCTATGGTGCTGTGGTTTGTTTTTACGCGTCAACAGTCTAAATTGCAGATGGTCTCATTTTGTTGTTTGTTTAGACCTTTATAGACACTTTCTGTTTTTCCTTTGTTTCTTGCTAGAAAAGTGTTCTGTTGTGGCCTTCCCCCCTGCCTCGAAGTTTATTGTGTGCTGAGCAGGCAATGCTCCACTTCTTCCAGAGCTTTTGTTCTGTAGCTTTCTCAGTGCCAAGAAACTGTAAAAACGATCCAGAGACAGACTATTGACTATTGCCGACGAGTTAAATTCAACAATGAAACTCGGGTAGCTCATAGCCTCACGTGACGTGCAGTAGGGTTCGATGAGTCTGTTGAGCGGCTGTCGAGCGGCTCACGAGCGAAGATGTCGAATCGTCACCACTCAAATCAATACCACAATCGGAGCAAGGACGCTACTAGGGGCTCCTGGCCTTACTACTAGGAGCAAGGACGCTACTAGGGGCTCCTGGCCGTACTGAGCAAGGACGCTACTAGGGGCTCCTGGCCGTACTACTAGGAGCAAGGACGCTACTAGGGGCTCCTGGCCGTACTGAGCAAGGACGCTACTAGGGGCTCCTGGCCGTACTACTAGGAGCAAGGACGCTACTAGGGGCTCCTGGCCTTACTGCTAGGAGCAAGGACGCTACTAGGGGCTCCCGGCCTTACTACTAGGAGCAAGGACGCTACTGGGCTCCTGGCCTTACTACTAGGAGCAAGGACACTAGTCAAGCAGATCCGCTGGGTGTGCTAGGATCACCAGGACACAAGTCACTCTTCTGGGACATGTTTTGTTGGTGTATTTCTAGCGGGGGATTAAAATCAGATAGCACAGCCATGTTACAGCATTCCATGTTACTAATAGCGATGGCCTCCAACCTAGGAGCGATGGCCTCCAATTCCATGTTACAGACTCATCATGTCAAGTTCCAACATTCCATGCTGTTCAATGTGCCGAGGGCAACTGGGACTGCGCTCGCAAAGCCGACAATGCTCCAGTGCCACACGAAGGACGGTTTGGGCTGTCAATGAACGGGCTAAGTGAGCTTCTAGTATCTGGAAGCAGGATAGCTCGCGCTTCTTGAAGAAGCGCTCGCACTAATGATTTGGTTCCTAGATTTTGGATATGTTTAGGAAAACATTGAACGGTCAGTCAGATTGTTCAAGGTTTGAGGCGCAAAGAGGGTCTTGAAACACTTGTCATTGTTGTTGGTCAGTCTCCCAGGAGAGAAACATAGCCAGCATCCAAGAGAGATTTGCTGTTCCATCTTGGAACTCAAATGTGATGAGGTCGAGGTGGATTCCTGGATGCGCTTTCTTTGAAGCCTTGATCTCGGAATTCTGCAGGTCAGGTTCAGGTATGTTCAGGTTCAGATGGTTCACCCAGACTAAATTTGATTGCCAAGGCCGTCCGTTGTAGATGACGGTGAACTGCTGTTCCCTCCAAGAAATCAGGCATTCCTTTTGGCAGTATGTGGATGTTTGTTGATTCAGAATATGAGATTGGTGAGCAGCGAAGAAGCAATTTCTTCTAGTCCGGTGTTCTTCTTTTAGCAGCTATCCTAGAAAGAGAGGCTGTCGCTGTCGCTTTCCTAAGCTGTGTGAAAAATTGCTGAAGACTATGTCTTGCAAAAAGGTAAAAAAACATTATATATCACAGGCAGACTGCTGCAAGCACTCCTTTTTGTTTGCGAGTGCTTGAAGCATGATAACCAGAGTGCCATTGCCAGTTTGCTGGACGAGGCAGTGACAGAAGACTCTATCCTCAAAAACTCCGGCACACTGTTTGAGTGATTGGGATTTGGCTTCGGCACCAGCTCTACTGACTGTTTGCACGTCCAACCACATTCCGCTCCATGCCACATGGAAGGAGGTATTAAAAGCTTGGCCTCTGTCGCCTTTCCGCGTGTGTTTTCTCCATTCCTCCAGTCTGCTCGAAACCTGATTGGCCAAAAGACACGACGCCCTTGCACCGCCTCCAACCAAAGAGCGATGGCCTCCAACCTAATAGCGTCCTTGCTACTAGTAGCGATGCCCTTGTTACGAATAGCGATGGCCTCCAACCCTATGAGACCACATGCCTATTGAAGTTCACACGACAAGTGATCGGAATAGCTTCTTGTTACTAGTAGCTACTTGCTCCTAGTAGTACGGCCAGCCCCGAACGTAGCGTCCTTGCTCCTAGTTCCGATGCACCTGTTCCTAGTAGCTTCTTGTTTCTATGCCAAGACTTCCAAACCACAGATCACCTGCAAATTGGATTCGTTCCATTTGGATCAAACGTGCAGACACATGCTTTGATCAACGGAATCCACTGTATTCCAAGAGATTTGATCCATACTGTAAACATGTTTTTTTGCGTGGGCGTTTTTGAATCAACTTGATAGATGACAGCTAGAAAGACGTGGTCTTGCCGGCCTACTGCGCACGAGAAATTATCGACATGTTCTGTGAAAAGAATATCGAAACATATCGAAACCACCACGCAGCCAAAAAGTGCAAATATGTTGTTTTTGTTTTTCAAAAATGCACAAATATCACAACATATCACAATAGTGGACAAGTCGGAATTTAACTTCGATTTTTTCGATATATGACCCATTCACGGACTTTGTGTAACTCGAGTGGGACGAGAAGTGGCTTATCAGGACTCAAAGAATGACGGGCAGAAAATGGACGGTTGGCAAGCAAGATGCAGATTTGTCGCGCTTAGTCCAAGCGTGGAAGCAAAGGGCTTTATGCCAAGTTCTTGATCACTTTCGCAGCTTCTTGTGTTCTTCGGGATGCTGTCGCGACGCAGCGCGACGCAGCGCAACGCACTTGCCAAGTGGAGTTGTCCAAGAGACGCTTGCACTTGTTCCTAGTAGCTTCTTGTTACTACTAGTAAGGCACCTGTTACTACTAGCGTGGCACTTGTTACTACTAGCTTCTTGTTACTACTAGTAAGGCACCTGTTACTAGTAGCGATGCACTTGTTACTACTAGCTTCTTGTTACAAGAGACGCTTGCTCCGACTTGCTCCGCAGAATGACCACCGCGATCACCATGCGTCCGATTCGCTGTGCATGCCGCCGGTCTTGCAATCTGGCGGTCACTGCAAGTACTCTTTTGGATTGGTCTATGAGTTATTCGTTTGCTACTAGTAGCGTCCTTGTTACTAGTAGTAATGGCCTCCAACCTAATGGCGATGGCCTCCCCCTAGTAGCATCCTTGTTACTAGTAGTTAGCTTTGTAGACCATGATGCGATTATTTGGCCGTTTATGCAAGATCTTGAAAAGATCCTTGTGGAAGATGTCTGGTCGTTGTTCAAGTGAAAGGAAACCCATGGATGCCCTTCCCTTTGCCCGTACTTTGCGCATGATGCTTTTGTTTCTCTCTTCTCGGTCTTAAAGCAATTTGAGAAACCGAGATGCACAGAAACCCAACGCCATCTGATCATTGGGATTCTATTGCTTCTGCGACCGGGATATTCTAGTAGCAACAAGCTACTAGTAGCTTCTTGCTACTAATGCTTATGGCCTCCAACCTAATAGCGATGGGCCTCCAATCTAGTAGTTTCTTGTTACTAGTAGCGATGCACTTATGGTGATATTCCGCAGGTTACCAGAACCTTTGGTTACCACAACCTTCACCCGAGGCATGAGGTCAGATCTTTAATCTGGTGAGCCCACCATGCATGCATTCGAAGAGGATTGTTCAAATCAGTTTCTGCAAGCAGCGCTGAACTAGTCATAGTTATAGTTGAACCGGCGGTGCGCAATTCATGCATTCTGTGTTGTCCGCAGATGTTCAGGCAAAAAAGGCAATCACAATTATTTACTGCCAGCATTCCATCAGCCCCCAAAAACATGTTTGGCAGCAAAATCTTTACATAAATTGACTGATTGTGTTTCACATATTTCCTGTATAGTGCGAAACAAAGAGCGACTTAGTAGACATTAGTAGACTACTAGTCTAGTATTAGATGTATTAGACATGTTGTTTTGTTTTTGTCGCCATATTTTGCTTGGGTAGGTGCGCCCACGTGGAAGCAGCAATCCACGGCAAAAGAGCGCTGGCAGAGGAGTTCAAAAAAGTCAATTCTCTTACGCCGGCGCTGACTTTCAGGACTCTCAAGAGATTGTGAGAGCTTAGTTTTGGGCCCTTTGTACTTGATGTCCTTTAGGCATTCTTTTCTTCCTACTAGGAGCAAAGGACATCGCTACTAGGAGCAAGGACGCTACTAGTAGCTCCTGGCCTTACTACTAGCAACAATAAGCTATATACTAGGAGCAAAGGGCATCGCTACTAGTAACAAAGGGCGTTACTACTAGTAGCATTCTTGCCAGTAACAAGAAGCTACTAGGGGCTCCTGGCCTTACTACTAGGAGTAAGGACGCTACTAGGGGCTCCTGGCATCGCTACTAGGAGCATTCTTACTACTAGGAACGGTTCTCCAGACGCTTTGCCAGGATTTGCCAAAGGCTTCACTTCATTCGCAAGGAGAGTGGAACGAATTCCAGGTACGACTGTAGTGTCGCTGAAATGTGAAGGAACACATGGGAAGCAATAAAGGAAGAAGAACGTGAAGAACTTACCCCAAAATGCCGGAAGACATGTTTGTGTGTTTTTTTCCCTTAAATAGTAGCTTCGTAACATTCTACTAGGAACAAGAAGCTATTAGGGGCTCCTGGCCATACTACTAGGAGCAAGGACGCTACTAGGGGCTCCTGGCATCGCTACTAGGAACAAGAAGCTACTAGGAACAAGACGATGCTACGAACGAGCAAGTTGAGAGGTCCATGCGCCGCATCGCCTTGGAGCGAACCTGGAGCAAAAGCCTGCCAGCAGTTCGTCTTTGCATCATCTTTGCATCATGTGTTTTTAATTAGGGGAGTAGGCCGCTAGAGGTAGCTAGGTAGCTAGTAGTTTAAGTAGCTACTACTTAGGACGCAGGATAGCTCGCGCTTCTTCAAGGAAACATGATTTTGTTCCTAGGTTTTTAGGGAAACTGAACACATATGGGCCACAATGGATTTGTTATTTTTAACGTGTGCAGTCTATGTAGGGCTGAGATGTTCGACTTGGGCGAAGCATACCCTCTGAAAACGCAAGTACTTTAGTCTTCACACTGCGCGAGGCATACCTCCGAAGCATACCCCATAGTCAAACATCCCGGCCCGGGAACGTCAACAAAATACAAACCCATTTGGCTACTGGGAGTGTATGTGCCCTGCGAAGGTTCAAGGAAGCTCTCCCCCCCGCCACCCTAAGGGCAGAGGGAGAGCCTTGAAGAAGCCTGAGCCTTCATGATTGTTTTCAAGATTAGTAGCGTCCTTGCTCCTAGTGGTAAGGCCAGGAGCACCCAGTAGCGTCCTTGCTCCTAGTAGCGATGCCAGGAGCCCCTAGTAGCATCCTTGCTCCTATTTTTGGTGGAATCAGGGTTTGTTGAGCATATTTGTGGTATAAAAGAATGAACAAGAAAGACAAGACAAGAAAGGTTAGGGGATGCTATTTGTTGCCCGAAAAGGCAAGAAGGGTTCGACTAAAGCTTTTTGGAGAACCTGTGTTCACAGGTATGTAGTAGCTTCACGTAGTGTCTCTTGCTAAGTAGGTGACTTTTCTAGTAGTGGTCTCTTTCCGATTGCCACATCCACTCTTACTACCCCCACCCCCAAAAAACAACAACAACATGTCCTGTTTGTGTATGTCGTTTGTTTTGGTTTTCCGTCAGAACACTCGGCCAAGTATGAAGGCCAGACCAAGCAACTCTACCGCGACCTCCGCAAGCCTGCCGAGAATAACCAGCGGTGTCTTAAAAGCCGTTAGGTTGGAAGCCATCGCCACTAGGTTGAAGGCCATCGCTATTAGGACGAGGGAAAGTTTAGTTGTGCCAAGATTTCTTCTGTCGCACTGATCAGCTCGATGTTTTTTCGGTCAATGACCACCAAACCAAGCAACATTCGAAGGTCCAGTTGACCCTCATGTCACTTCATGTCTGGATGATGTCCCAGTGCCACCTCTTGGTTTTGATGAAGTTGTCCACATTCCTCAGCACACTCCTGTTGAGGCGGGTTCAGTGCGTACCCCATTCGACGCAGCACGCCCTGCCTCTGATAACACACCTCTCCACTGCCTTCCAATTTCCATCGATTTCCCTTGGAAGCCCTTTCCCAAAAACAAGCACAACAATCCCAAAAGAATAAGAAAGTATATCACAGTATTAGGATACTATTAGGTTGGAGGCCATCGCCTAAAAGAAGAAGAAATCCTAAGCTATGTCCATTTTCCTTGCCGCATCCAGCTTTCGGCTCAGCACACCGGCATTTGAAGTGCTGGCGCTCGCCTCATGGTGCAGATTCAAGTGTGTTGTTGCATATTAGGTGTTTGGAGTCCTAAAGGAAGTCCCAAGGGACAATAGGACGCAGTTGAAGTGCCAACAAAGTTGGCATAGAGTTTACAAAGACGCTACTAGGGGCTCCTGGCCTTACTACTAGGAGCAAGGGCATCGCCATTAGAAACAATAAATAAATAGAATTAAAAGTAAACATTAAGTTAAGCGCCCAACGCAAGAGCTGCGCTCTGAGTTTGCACGTGTCAGGCACCCAATGGTTCGAGGCAGCGCAGCACTTAATTTGCCACAAAGATGGCAGAAGTGTGAACATCGAAACCGATCCAGTTTTGAAACGGAAGAAGAAAGAAAGGTCTGCAGGTCTACAGGTCTAAAAGACAAAAGAATAGAAATAGAAATAGCCGTTTTTTGGGGCGGTAGGCTGCTAGTACCTACAAGTAGCTACTACTGACAGGACGCAGGATAGCTCGCGCTTCTTCAAGGAAACTTGCCGAGGGCGGCGGGGGAAGCTTCCTTGAAGAAGCGCTCGCACTAATGATTTGGTTCCTAGATTTTTAGGGAAGACTTAACTTAACTGGAATGGTGGCTCAGGATCAAGTGCTGCAGAACCAGCAGAGCCAGCATCATCGTCTGGTGCGTATGGGGCTTAATTAATTTCAGAAATACAAACAATACATGTAGCAGGGCAGCCCACGGCACCAGCGACAAAGCCGACAAATTGACGAAGCGACAAGCCCGTTTGCTATTGGCTGCTGATCGCACAATGACCGAAAAGCACGACAAGCGCAATGTTTTGTTTCTTAGCTACTTGCTCCTAGTAGTACGGCCAGGAGCCCCTAGTAGCGTCCTTGCTCCTAGTAGCGATGCCAGGAGCCCCTAGTAGCGATGTTTTTTCCCTTTTCGGATTGGGCCCAGTGCACAAGATGTTGGTTCGTTCTTGGCGTCTACCACCGACTCTTAGGCCACAACTGCAAATGCCATTCGCCGAAATGGGGCGATGTGCATGTTCCTTCCGATTCGTTTTATTTTAACATCTATGCCATGCCAAAACCCCACAATGGTGGATAGTATGGGCCACCAGGATTTTTTTGCCCAAACTGCATATGGAGCTCCCTAGCAAAACCGAAAGCCAAGAAATCCAACACAACACCCACCTGCCACAAATCTTAGCAACAACTTAGTGAATAGCTCAAACTTGGCTACGTTGCCTCACCACCGAGCTTCAAATTCTTGACTGAATCACTGAAAGCATTTTGGTCCTGGAGATTACTAGGAACAAGGGCATCGCTACTAGGGGCTCCTGGCATCGCTACTAGGAGCAAGGACGCTACTAGGGGCTCCTGGCCTTACTAGTAGGAGCAATGTTCGCTACTAGTAGTGTGCATGTTGGAATCTGAGAAAGTGCTTTGCATTTCATGCCGGAACCTGCATACTAGGAGACGCGGTGTACGGAGGGACCGCGAAACTGAGCGAAATGCTGCACATATGGGGTGTGGCACCCAGTTTGGCCTTGAGTCTTTCAATAGTTGACGGCCATTTGCAGAAACTTAAGGCGCAGACCTATGGAAAGAGAAATCTTGAAGCTCCAGCAAGACTGGTTTGCGGATTTTCATCCGCTTGACTAATGCTGCCATGGTGTTGTTTTTCTTCCAGGACCATAACTTCCTCTCTATCCCAAAGACGGCCTTTGGCAGACTGGTAAGGGACATCCAGTTTGAACCTCAGTGGTTTCAATTCTTGACTTGTTCAGAGGCTCTTTTACCTATCCAACAATTCTCTCTAGAACCTCTTTTACTTTCCGACAGGTCAAGCTTTGCCGAGGCAATCGTGTGCTGCGTGTCATACACTAGTTGTTCGTAACCTTGCAAGCCCGCAAAGCAAGACAATTTCAATCTGTAAGGAAAGGCATCAAACCACATGGAATCTAACTTGCAATGAGAACAGTCTAAAGAAGAATGCAATTTCAAAGGTCCAAAGGAAGGTTGGAGGCCATCGCTATTAGGTTGGAGGCCATCGCCATTCGAAAGAAACAAAAAGAAGCTAATTCCACTGAATTGGACAAATCTTGTTTGACTTGTTCGACAGCATCAGGAGCCCCTCCGATTCAGCTCTGAAGCTTTGGAGCTCCTTCAAATGGCAACAGAGGAGCCTGGGCACATTGTCCACCCTTCATAACTATATCATTATGCTCATTATGACCTCTCGCAGGAATATTTGATGTATCTATTTGCAGATGGCTATTTGGTCAAGCACTGAAATGGAGCAATTTCAGAATACTATCAAGCACTTGTTTGACATGAACAGTGAATGTGCATTTCTTCCAAGAAATCCACGCTCAGACTTGATGAGGCCACAGCTCATCGGCGGAGAGTGACTCTCTCCTCCGAGGACGTGCGCCTGGTGCGGCGATTGCGGCAGTGGGGGCACCAGAGAAAGACACTGAGAGAGAGAGGGAGAGGCCAGCCTAATGGTAATGGCCTCCAACCTAAAAGCGATGGCCTCCAACCCAAGAGAGATAAGGAGATCGCTAGTAGGTTGGAGGCCATCGCCTTTAGGTAAGGAAGCCTATCTCTTGTTTCATTTCTCGTGCTTTTGGGGTCGTCTTGGTGCTCGCAGGCCGCATTGCTGGGGGGAGACCCGGTAGAGGCCAAAAAGAAAGCTTCCATTTCGTGCTACTCTTGCTGAATCGGAGTGGCTGCCGCTCTTGCTGAAGTTCAGACAGTCAGCACACAGGGCCAAAACAGATTTAGGACTCGAAGCCAGACGCCCCAGCACCTGACCCTTCACAATCTTCATAGTAGGACAGCAATAGCAGAGCGATCCAAGTTGATGGATGTGAAGAGCTAGCTCAAGGAAGGTCACTACACTGGGAGGCTGCTTCACACCAGGTCAGAAGACGCTTCTCACTCTTCCCACATCTTCTCCAATTCTTTACTGCCCTCAGAGTGGAAGTTTTATGGGATCCTAGGATGAGGGGAATCCTTAATCTCAGGACATGCCGCGAGCATTTCACCTGTTCTTTGGCGGGGGAGGCCACGAAACGGGGGGGTATAGTAACAAGTTCCTCAGAAACAGTACATAGGCTTTGAGGGCAATCAGTAGTAGCGTCCATGGGGGGACTAGGATGTAAATTTGTGAGTTGCATTTATGTGTGGAAGGATGCACATCCCTCCAGCTTAGCTTTCATACCACGGCTCAACCACCACAAGATCTTGACTTCAACAAGAGCTAGTGTCTCAGTAGATCGGAGCAAGACTAGCAGTCCATGGAATTGCCCAGTTGGCTCCAGAACCAAGTTCCCCAGAAGACTCATCACGACTTGTCTCGAAAACTCATTGCGTCACAAGCCTCTGGGCTTTTGGGTGGGAAGCAGGGTAAACCTTGCAGCCCAAGGGCAAATGCACGGCCTCATTCATTTGAATGAGCAAATGGAAGAACTGATGCAATCGACCAATTTGGCCAAGCGCGCTTCTTGTGATAGCAAGAACCATCACAGCAATTCGCTTGGTCGACTGCATCGCTTGTAGGTGGGGAAATGCTCCGTAGAAAGGACCGATGTTCCAAGAGCATCTTGGAACAAGAAGCTACGAACGTAACAAGTGCCACGCTAGAAGTAACAAGTGCCTTACTAGTAGTAACAAGAAGCTAGTAGTAACAAGGGCATCGCTACTAGGAACAAGAAGCTACTAGGGGCTCCTGGCATCGCTACTAGGAGCAAGGACGCTACTAGGGGCTCCTGGCCGTACTACTAGGAACGAAACATGACCTCCACCCTACGAACGCGATGGCCTCCAATCTAGCCATGGCCTCCAACCTAATGGCAATGGCCTCCACCATGGTGAGATATCAACTCTTTCCTTTGTCACCACAACTTGCCCTACGACGCACATGTCATACACCCATGAAAAGACTGATATGGCCTGGCTGCCTGAAAGGGAGAGTATCCCTGCGAGGCGTGTCTAAAGAAGGATTGGAAGGAATGGATAAGCCTACGTTTGCATACAATTCCAACCAAGGTTGCAGCAAGACGCTACTAGGGGCTCCTGGCATCGCTACTAGGAGCAAGAACGCTACTAGGGGCTCCTGGTCGTACTACTAGGAACAAGGACGCTACTAAGGAACAAGAAACTACGAGTTCAGTCCAACTAACAAGAACAGCTTCTTCTTTGGGGAATGATCACTCGGGGGTCATATCAAGCACAAATTGCCGGATTACTGCCTTGCAAGAACGGTTTTAACGAAGAGCATCCCGGTTTCCCTTGAACAAGATGAATGCTTTTGATTGCGTAACACGTTTTTGATGTTTGACTGTGAGCGGGTATTATTATAGAACCAAATCTTAAATATATAGACAGGTCAAGGTGACAGTCAAGGTCCTGAGTGGAGAAGGTATTGAGAGCAAGTAAAAGGGTGCTATAATGTGACGAGACATAGAGTTCGCCTCTTTACTGAGAAGCTATGTTGATGGAACATGTTGGATGCACAGTGAAAGAGCTTCTAAAGAAAAAAACACAGGATGCACAGGTTGGTTCAAACGCATCGCCCCATAGATGTGCTAATGGTTTCACTGGCCTATAGGCTTGGATGCTTGAATAAATAGAAAAAGGAGCTTGTTCTGACGTCCAAACATCCGTTCTGTTAATTCTTGTTTCTACGTTCGCTTCTTGTTACTACTAGTAAGGCACCTGTTACTACTAGCGTGGCACTTGTTTCTACGTTCGCTTCTTGTTACTACTAGCGTTCTGTTTTTATTTTGGACCTTTACATGTTTCTTTTGTCTTGATTTTTTCTGCAGACTTTTGTTCCTTTGCTTTCTTTCTTTTGACCTTTCTTCCTTTTCTTGTCTTTCTTCTATTTTTTGTTTGGACAGACCTTTCTATGATCTTTCTTTAGTCCTGATAAGTGGCTGGGGGCAGTCTGTCGTGTGGTGTACAGGATAGCACGAAGTACATTCGCCAGCTGTGCAAGACTGCTTTTGGGATTGATGTTGACCTGCATGACATTTCATTGGTAAATATGAAGAATTGAACGTCCTCTCCATAAGAGAAGTGTCAGGAACGCCTCAAGCTGCAACAATTCGGTTTTGGGCTCGAGAGTTGGATAGGCTGGGTTTGTCCGTGCGGGCCTCGATGGAGGTCTTCAACACGTTCAGACCGTCGATGAGTTTCACATTAGCGACCCAACTCCTTGCTCAACGTCTTGACATTTCTCGAACACATTCCTTCGCCAACCCGGAATCGAAGTCAACGATGGCATATACAGAGGACTAGAGGAAATCCACAGCACGATGTTGACAAGCAACGTTGTTTGTATTCATGGGTGGGGCATTGCGTTTCGATTTGCCAACTTCTTCCACGCCTCTGCTAGTTTGTATCAAATTTGTTGGAGCATACTTTCAAAGTTCGAAGGATTGGAAAAGGTTGTATCCAAATTGCCGTACGAACATGTGAAAAGTCACTTGAGTCGCAGCACAAGCAGAGAAGTCCGTGTCCAGGAACTGGTTTGTCCGCACTCTCTCAGAAACTATTCCCGGCGTTTTGCGCTAGGGTGGAGGCCATCGCTGTTAGAAACAAAGAAAAAAGAAAAAGGCGAAAGGTCTAATAGGGCTTGAAGCGGCCAAAGATGTGAGCCTCCGCCGAATGGCGCTGACAAGTATTTGTCGTTCGTCTTCAAGGGTCCAATGCAGCAAGTCGTACGCTCTTGAATTGAAGCAAGCGCGGCGCGGGTAAATGGCGGCAGCAACTACGACTCTCTTAAAGTAGCCACCTGCCTGGTCATCTAATAAGTGACATGCATGAATGGAATAACGAGATTTCCACTGTCCCTACCTACTACCTAGCAAAACAGACAAGGGAACGCTCTCGACAGAATCAGTGTTAATCTTGACTCTCCAAGTTTTAGAAATGCTGAGTTCAAAGTATGCCAGGCTTGCAAAGGCTTGCAAAGTGCACAAAGCCTGCACACATTAAGGGAGCATTGCATGCAAAGCTTCAGAGAATTGGCACAGATTTCGAGATGTTTTGCGGATACATGTTTGATCATGTTTGCATGCGATGGCCATCGCTATTAGGTGCATGTTTGCATGCGCACGTTTGCAGCTGCACTTTGCGCTTAAGTCTTGGACTCAACTACGTCTTACTCCGCCACCTTCCTTTGTGTAAACTCCTGAAGGTGTCTTTTTTTCCGAGTCCGAACAAAGGTCATCAGTTGTTGTGGCCAAGAGTGCAAAATTTGTTTTGACTTCACCTGCCAAAGCCATGATCATCCATGAGCTCAAAAAGAGGATATTCCGCCATACCAAGCCTATCCAAAGGATTCCAAAGACAGATGGAGCAGATGTAGCAGATATCCCAGTCTCGAGTCGTCAGACTTGCACCCTGCCGAATAAATACCATGTACCATGGTACCAGTGCTCAGTTTCCAGCACTATGAGCACAGTACTTTCAACATGTTCGCACTATGAGCATCAGCGCAAGTTTGATCTGAAACCTCGCGTGTCCAAGCTTCAATGACGTTTTTCACCTCACGTCAGATATGTCAGGTGCTGACGTAGCTTGGAGAGTGCAAGCGACATTCGAGGTTCATTTGTTCAGCCCCGTGGAATATGCATCACACGGACATCATTTGGCGATCCCCAGTACCACTGACGCACCTTTTTGATGCAAACGTGCTGGGCAATATCCCTGCATCTCGCAGAGACTTGACTTGTAGCGATGCCAGCAGGATTAAGTATGTGTTAATGCACTCACGTACATAGCTCTCATTGATCAACGTTCGAGACAATTGACATGATGCCTTGAATCAATTGACTTCTTGTCCCACTTGTGACCATGGCGGTCATGTCTCAACACTTCTCAGGTAGATTCAACACTATAGCTGCAATAATGGGTTTAATTCATTGTAAAAACATTCCAAATGGTTTCATGACCTTGCTTAAATCAACAAGAGCTAAACTGTTGCCTATCTAACGTTGCCTGATCTGTGTGAGAGGCTTTGCCGACAACCTTGTGCTAGGGCGTTGGCATGTCAGCGCACATCACATAGGAGCCTAAACGAAATTAGGGGAATCTCACGGGATTGCCAATCTTGCGGAGGGCATTGAGGAGCAAACAACTCATGGTGTGGCATGCTCGGGGCATGGCCAAAGTAATTGAAATTCTGTCGATTTAGGCGGGATTTGACAAAGAGTGCCGCACAGTAATGGCGAGAGGAAGATTGGTCAAAAACAAGAACCTACTACCTAGATCTAATCCTTTCCACCTGGCCAAAGCATCAGCCGCAGATTCCAGTTCGGGTGCAGTTCGCTTGAGTTCTTTGTGCCGCCTTTTGGTTGTTCCAGTGTGTTGTCTAATTACGACAGATTCGACTTTGTAGCGTCCTTGCTCCTGGTAGCGATGCCCTTTGCTCCTAGTAGCTTCTTGTTCCCAGTAGTAAGGCCAGGAGCCCCTAGTAGCGTTCTTGCTCCTAGTAGTAACAAGTGCATCGCTAGTAGTAACAAGTGCCTTACTAGTAGTAACAAGAAGCTAGTAGAAACAATAAGCGTTCTTGCTCCTAGTAGAGAGGTGCCACTGTGGGTTCCGTTCTTTCATGCTCCTTTGGCTCGCTGCAAGCCTAGTAGGGCCCAGGGCCGAGCAGCTTAGCTGGAAGTTGTCAAGCCGTTTAAGACCAGCAGAAGTGCCATCATGTGTTTTGAGGTGAATGGTCTTACGTTTAAAAGAACCGATGTT